GGGTCAGGAGGCTTGACAGAGAGCCTTGGACAAACTAGATCGATGTGGTGAGGTCAATTGTATGAAGTTGAACAAGGCCAAGTGCCAGGACCTGCACTTGGGCCACAACAACCCCATACAACACTACAGGCTTGGGGAAGAGTGGCTGGAAGCCGAAAGGAACCTGGGGGTTCTGATTGATAGGCAACTGAACATGAGCCAGCAGTGTGCCCAGATGGCCAAGGAGGCCAATGGCATCCTAGCCTGTATTAGGAATAGTGTGGCCAGCAAGACCAGGGAATTGATTGTCCCTCTGTACTCGGCAGTGGTGGGGGCACACCTTGAATACTGTGACCAGTTTTGGGCACCTCAATACAAGAAGGACATTGATGTGCTGGAGCGTGTCCAAAGAAGGGTAATGAAGCTGGTGAAGGGCCTTGAGAACAAGTCTTATGGAGAACTCATTGTCCTCTACAACTACCTGAAAGGACATTGTAAAGAGGTAGGTGCTGGTCTCTTCTCACGAGTAACTGGTGATAGAACAAGAGGAAATAGTCTCAAGCTACATCAGTGGAGGTTTAGACTACACATTAGGAAGAACTTTTTCACTGAAAGGGTTGTCAGACATTGGAACATGCTGCCCAGGGAGGTGGTTGAGTCACCATCCCTGAATGTGTTTAAAAGTTATCTAGGTGTGGCTCTTGGGGATATGGCTTACTGCTAGACTTGGTAGAATAGGGTTAATGGTTGGACTCAATGATTAAAGGTCTTTTCTAACTTCAGTGATTCTGTGATTTTGTTCAGCCTAGAGAAGAGAAGCCTCTGGAGGGACCTTATAGTGGCCTTCCAGTGTCTGAAGGAGCCTACAGGAAAGCTGGGGAAGGATTTTTTACAAGAGCTTGCAGTGAGAGGACAAGAGGTAATGGAAGAAAACTGGAAGAGGGGGACATTTAAGTTAGACATTAGAAAGAAACTCTTTACTGTGAGGGTAGTGAGAAACTGGAACATGTTGCCCACTTGTGTTCAAGTATCACAAGTATTCAAGACCACGTTGGATGGGACCCTGAGAAATCTTATCTAGTGTCTCTGCCTATGCAGGGGGGTTAGAATTAGATGATTTCTAAGGTCCCTTCCAACTCAAACCATTCTATGATTCTGTGATCCTGTAATTCTATGATTCTATTTTCTAAAGCTGAATATAATACAAGTTGTGAAATATCCTGGAACTGACAGATGCAGAATGATATTAAAGTGCCAGATATTATCATTATTACCTTATCAGAGAGACCATCGAAGGCATCAGTTTCAGACTGTTCTTATCCTCTGTAACACTCAGATTCTTTAACTTTGTTCTTCCATTTGGCATTCTGCCACCTGTCAGGATTTGTAGTCAGCTTTGCATTCAGCA